AAGCTATACACATATGTCAGAAATATTTAACAAAATAAGATATTTAATTTTTCTTTTGATATTTCTAGATGGTTATGATTTTTATAAGACAGGCTTCAATATAGAGATTAACTTTAAATCCAAATACTATTATCTCATAATAATTATTATAACTTATTCTTAGAGCCAAATAGTGAAAGTATTCATTGAATTACATACCAGCTTCCCTACTGAGCTGTAAGATGATCCTTGGTATTGGAAATGGTGTTTTCTATTTGGTGTGCACGTTATAAAGCACAATGCCTGATTCATCATAAGTAAATTTCTAAATGTTTATTAAATGAATGAATACATATTATCAATAAAAAATATGTACCTCTCATCACACATGCTACCTTCTTCTCCAAATAAAGTTCAGTGAACCTTAACTTTGATCTGATATTGCCTCTTCTAATGTCTTTATGATTATAATTTCCTATTTTAAAAACAGAAGCCCTCAGTAGATAATTAGCAGCAATCAAGAGAAGCATGCTATATCGGCAAAATTTCTGCCAAGAACAATTATCTTTGTAGAAAATATATCTCACGAGACAGACTGAGGGCACCTATCCTGCAGTAGAGGAGTTTTGAGAACCACTTCTACTGGAACATTTCTCTCAAGCCAGTCTTCCTAGACTATCTATCTGAGCTGAGTGCCTGGTGTAGTTTTACTGGGATGGTCTGTATATTTTGTGAAATCTTTCTGCCATTGAGATTGATTATGCTACCACTGAAGTTTTTAAATGTCTCAACTTAATCAATCTTTACAGTCAGTCCTACTTTTTTTCGCTTCTTACCCAAATAGGCATAGTCAATGAGATAATATCAATAATGGTTTCCCATGGATAACTAACATAATCATTTTAGTTGAGTTTTAAGAAATATATATATATATATATATATATATATATATATATATATTTTTTTTTTTTTCTTTTTTTTTTTGAGATGGAATCTCCCTCTGTTGCCCAGGCTGGAGTGCGGTGGCCGGATCTCAGCTCACTGCAAGCTCCGCCTCTGGAGGGTTTACGCCATTCTCCTGCCTCAGCCTCCCGAGTAGCTGGGACTACAGGCGCCCTCCACCTCGCCTGGCTAGTTTTTTGTGTTTTTTAGTAGAGATGGGGTTTCACCGTGTTAGCCAGAATGGTCTCGATCTCCTGACCTCGTGATCCGCCCGTCTCGGCCTCCCAAAGTGCTGAGATCACAGGCTTGAGCCACCACGCCCGGCGAGAAATATTAATCTTATCTTCCGTAGGTTTTGCAAAACATCAAGAAGACCTTAAACAAATAAAGCTTACAAAGTGGAGCCAAATTAACATTGTCTTTCTAAATGGTCAAGATATTGTGACCTTATAAAAATTTAGAGGCATTAACAGAAATATCCCAGATTTTAAACAACTTATAGCTGGTTCCTAGCCCCTGCAGCATTGGCAACCCTTATAAATTCCTTAAATACAAAGTGAAAGTATCAAGTAGTTAAGGGGAAGAAATTCAATAGGGAGAAACAACAATGCTAATTCAAATAGAGTTTTAAACTTGATAGTTCAACTAGAAAGCTTTCTCTAGGGAATAATTCACAGTTTGCCTTCTTTGAGTGACAGGACACCTAATTAAGAGATATCTCACACTTCAGAAATCTTCTGATATTAATTATTTATTAGAAGATGATAAAATGCTAACAGTGTATAAGACACAATAATAACTCCTCCAGTATTTATTTATTTGCTTATTTACTTATTTGGCTGTTTTTAGGAATAAAGGTCACATTATCAGCCTCACTAGAATTTGGATCAAAGGTTTTAGACATGTTTCATCAAGCAATTACCATTTTCTAAATAATAATCAATATTAAAAAACATGGACTATACATTCATTTGGGTTTAGTGTGAATTGAGCAGAAAATTCAGACAAAACTGTACAGTTGAAATTTGCTAAGACAGTAGATCTTAAGTGTTCTTACCACACACACACAAAAGTAACTATGTGAGGTGGTAGATGTGTTAATTAGTTTGATTGTGATAATCATTTCACAATGCATTCCTACATATCAAATCAGTATGTCATATACACTTTAATTGTATATAATTCTTATTTCTCAGTTACATCTCAGTAAAACTGGGGGAAAAAGTATAAACATAATGGCTATATTATAATCTACCAAATCAATGGTTCCAAATAGCAATATTTGAAACTACTTTGATGTAAGTAGTCATTTAATTGCTCTTCTTTCTTCTTTAATTAGAATTGAAGTCTCTTTTAATCAAATATTACTTTTTTATTAAAAATAATTGTATTAATGTTCTCTAGGCAAGATTTAATTTCATAATATGCTACTCAAGTAAAAGTATGTTGCTTACATAAGATTAAAGACTTCTTGTCCAAGTAAAATTGATCAACATAATAGACATGGAATCTGTAAATTCAATTATACATCAAATGCACTAAGGTATATTTCTAGTTATTTCTAGTGATATACTTTATTTATTTATTTATTTAGTTAGTTAGTTAGTTAGTTATTTTTGAAACAGAGTTTTGCTGTGGTCGCCCAGGCCAGAGTGCAATGGCGTGATCTTGGCTCACTGCAACCTCCACCTCCCAGGTTCAAGTGATTCTCCTGCCTCAGGCTCCTGAAGATCTGGGATTCCAGGTGTCCATCACCACGCCTGGCTAACTTTTGTATTTTTGGTAGCAACAGGATTTCACCATGTTGACCAGGCTGAACTCAGGTGATCCTGACCTGAACTCCTGACCTCAGGTGATCCCAAAGTGCTGGGATTACATGTATGAGCCTAGTGACATATTTTTACAGCCTTTAGAATTTGCAAAGTGTTTTTATACATTGCCATCAATTAAATCTCAAAAATGCCATTTTAAAAGTGTGAAAACAGAGACTGAGAGAGAGGCGTTAAGATTCATGACCAAAATCACTTGTCTGGTAATGACAGAGCCAGGAGCAGAACCCAAGGCTTCTGGCCTTCATTCAGGTTCATGTTTTTCATATTGACTGATTTTCTTCCAATGTTAAGAATTGTTGCCATACCTACCTCTAATTGTCTGAATATCAGAATTTCATTGTTTCAGTTTTTCTCACTTACTACTTTTAATTGAAGAATGTGCAAGTGAATCCGTGAATGGCCAGAATTCAGGAGATGTACACACAGTTATCTTTATAAAGTCAATAGGACACTGAGAAACCTATGACTAACTCAGTCACTTCCCCATCACTGATAAATTTGAAGCATGATAGTGGTCTCAACTTTAAGTGGAATAAACAGGAGTTCTACAAAAGCATTCATTAGAAAATTTTTCCAGGTCTTAATAGGAAAAATGAGATTAAACTTTCAAAGTTTAATAGGAAAGCAGCAAAAATACATTAGTCTACAAGACTCTTGAATTTTTCTGGTAACTAAGAATAGTTGCTTAACTGTATTGTACATGAATTTTTAAGATTACCATCCGTTGTTTTATATATATTATACATATATATGCATACAGATATATTTAATACTGTATGAGTATAATTATATAAATTGTAATAGATATAAAATTACATATATACTATATGTAAATTATATATGAGATGTATACATACAATGACCAATGAGACCCTTAACAGAATACACACACACACAGACACAGACACACACAGACACAGACACAGACACACACAGACACACACACAGACACACACACACACAGACACACAGACACACACACGAAAATAAAAGCTGACATAAATTATAAAAGTATGAATTTTGACATATATAAAAAAAATTCCTATAGGAATAGGAATAGCATAGGCCATAACAAAGGCCATTTCATAACGTTAAAAACTGATAAGGTACCTTAAATGGCACCTTTTTCCACCTCGATGGAATTATTATTAATACTAGAAATTAAAGTCTAAACTGAGTACCAATGTGCATTTAGCCTTTTGAAATAAACCAGGACAATTAATACTAATTATCCAGAACATAAGCAGTCTCAGTGACTGCATGGAGTCTGGTGTTACAACTGGCCTGTGTAACTTCCTAAGCAAACCTTAGCAGAAGAACTACAGGCATTCAACCTCAGGGCTATGCAGACGATACAGAGGAGAAATTGTGAATATTGTCATACAGCTTTGAAAATAACATAATTTTATTAGGTTAACATGGAATATAATTATTAATATTTTAATTATAGGACAAACTTTTCATCTTCATGGAGTCTCAAAGCAAAATAAATTATTTTACTTCTTTTGATTTTTAGGTTACTACAAAACTAATGGATCAAATTCTGGCCCTGAACTATCTGTTTAATGCTAACTGTTGTCAATTTAATCCGTTAGGTATGCTATATGCTATTAAATACTAATTACATTGGGGAAAGAGGGGAGGATGATATAGATTACTGATATTTTAAAAATAACAATAATTTTGCAGAAAAAGCTAGTATCAACTTACTTTAAATCTTTGTCAAAAATATTGTTTTAATCAAAGTATTCTTGTAGAAAGAATTGTATTTGTATACATCATAATTAATGGGATATTTACCATCTCCTGTCATTCTCATATCAGTAACATCAAAGTTCAAAGTAATGATGAATTAGCACAGGGAACTATTTCTAGCCTTATTATTTTTGATACAATTCGACAGGCAACTGTGGAACACAACCACCATTTGTTCAGAAAGTATTTTCTGGAGGACAAATAACACGTTTACATTTAATTGTTTATATTAGATTTTAAAATAAGCATTTTTTCTTCCTGAGATCGTCTTCATCACAAAATTAAAGTTTTGTGTTTGAAGACAGACATACTACTAGGTAAACATACCATGTAATAATTATCTTGAAGAATTTGCTTCTTTTGTCTGTCAAGTAATTAGTTGTTTCCTATCAGAGTGTTGGGATGTGTCAAGTCCAACAAAATATTTGATCTTATTTCTATTCAAAATCATTTTTCAATCAAGATTAAGGCCAAAGGAAAAAATCCACTTACTTTGCTTTAGCTTCTGCATCTTCATATGCTTTATTAGAAACATCATCCAGCCCTCCAATCAAATGTTTGAAAGAGCTGCCAGAGGAAAAAAGCACAGTGATTAGAATAAATCTTCTATAAAGTAATAACAATGGCAACCTAATCAATGATATAATGAAACAATCTAAAGACATCTAAATAAAAAATAAATTCAAACACTTAATCTAAATACACTGTTAAAAAGCACGTTAGATAATATTTTTTCTGACTAGCATATAAATTCTATGAGATTAGGGACCTCTTCTACCTTGTTTGCCAATACAGTTGCCAAAACATAAACAAATCTGGCAGCCATATCTGACAAAAGCAGATATTCAAATAATTGTTTGGAATAAAGTCTGTGACACACTAAATGATATACATCACAAAATTAATGAGTAAACTAAAATACTGAAATGACAGCAAGATCTACCAATTATGGAATGCCTCCTTTAGGCCAGGTACTGTTATTTAAATTACCACTAACATATATTAATTCCAATTCTCAAAAAAAATTCTGAAAAACAAGCATCATTATCTCCACTTAACAAAATAGTAAACTAATGTTCACAGGCAAAATAAATACGCAGAATACAGGAAAACAACAGGAGAGAGTCACAGAAAAATTAACTCATTTTGGAAGAGTGAAAAAACAACTTTAGCATAAAACAGGAAGAGTGATTGAACTGCTTAAATCCAATCTATTCAGTATCCTGCTATGCACCTGGAACTGTATTCAGACTTCTATAGTGAAACATGATCAATTCTGTCACTAAAATAGTAAATACTACAGCATCAATACAAAATGAATAAACACATGCATACTAGAATCACCGTTGAAAATTACTAAATACAACCAGATACAGTAACTCTTACTGTACACTACATTCTGGCAACTATTGAACTAGAATGAAGGAAAGAAAAATGTCCCAGTACCCACATGATAATCAGAGCCTCACTTACATGGTACTCATATGCCAGGCATTGCTATGAGTGTTTTGCATGTAATAACAAATAGTTTAATAGTTCCAATGAGGTTTTTTAAAACAAAAGTCAATTCTTTTATTTTGAAATACTATGAGTTAGTATTACAATCTCCAATTATAATGGAGATAATTTTAAAGTACTGTGAGAAATTACATTTAATTTCAATCCTCTATCATCTTAATATATGTAAATTGTTTGTGTGTTGTGAGTATTAAACAATAAGTTATGCATGGTCGTCCTGAAACATAGTAAGATGCTTGCTGATTTAAAATGTGAATGTTCCTTAATTGCTTTTACATATACTTTTTTATTTTGAAAATCTATAAAGAGGAATATGACACCCTTCTTGGGCCTGGGTGGAGGGGAAGGGAGCAGCTGTTACTTCAGACCCTTGGGTAATGAGCTCATCTAGGGTGCATGGTAACCAGAATGCTGAACCTAATACATGAAGTATTTCTATATATAAAGGGACCCCAAAAAAAGATTAGACAGAGACATGGGGAATCAAGAATCATATTCAAGAACATAAAGCTTTCTGTAATGAATTGTATTAATTCATGCCAAAACAAATTATTGCTAAATAGACAAATAATAGGCAACACTTCTTACAAAGTTTTCAAAAATATATTATCCATAATTAATAAATATAATTCCCATAGTTGAAAACTATGTTCAAATATTATTTTTGTCATTGTTCTTCATATGGTAAAATTTCCTACTTTCCCATAGAATGTCTTGGTGCTTATGTAAACTTAGAGGGAATCCGAGTTTAGAGAATGTCCTTAAAGCTAGATGCATTCACAACATAAAGTAAAATATAATATTTCTTTTATTATAAATAGACAATATCTGTTTAATTTTGTGGGTTTTTTTTAAGATAGTAAGAAAATTTAAGCACAGAGTTTAAGTTCCTTTTCTAAGATGACTGCAATTTAGCAGCACATCCACCATTAAAATGTATATTTCTTAAGGCTTCTGTCCTTTATATTTGGATATTTTCAATACAATGAAATCCAAAACATTATGAAAAGGTATTGAAAGAGAAGAATCAAATAATATTATCTAGGAAAACCGAACAGCAATAATCACTAAAACTTAGTTTTTCAAATCCATTTCGATATATTAAGGGATTGTATTATTAGACATTTAAAACTCATAGTAATTCTGAGAGTTCAAGTAGTTTTTATTAAAAAAATAAATCCTGTCTTCCTTCTATTATCTATTTGAATTAAGGACACTTTAAACAGAATAGCATATTACCAAAGAATAACAGAGTAAACTGATGATAAATTTGACAAGAATTAAAACTTTTAACTTAACAAATTCTGTTCAACACACTAAGCTAAATTAAAACTCCACAAAATATTATTTTGAAAATACACTTTGAAATTCTTAGTAGCAAAATATATATATATAAATGGAAAAGCATAGATATGGTTATGCTAGATGGAGTTTTAAAAGTAGAAATCAAGTAATATTATTAAGTTCCAAATGACTGCCACTGTCTGCAGATCCCTGTACTGATCAATGAATAATTTAAGACATCTTGATAAGCATAATTGATGGCGTTATAGAATTTATCACTCCTGGCACAAAAATGAACCAATTAGTGTTTCATTTTTTCCTTCTCTCAGACACTGTAGGAACACCTGCTGTCTGTGTGAACCCTCATCAAATAGACATTTGGAAAAGTACTACTATAGGTATCATATGCTTTTCTAAATAGTTACTCAGGTCCTATGACATTTCTTGACTAATGCCTTTTTTTTTATTGTTATTCTATTCTGAAAAAGATTATAATGAGATGTCGTGAAAACTCCAGCAACTGAATAAGTATGAACCAGAAAATATTATTTATGGGTTTTAACAAATATAGGTAACTATAGAAAAATCATTAAATTCTCTTTTTAAACAAACTCACAATTCATACACGAGTTACATTTTAACATTGTAAAATAAAACACCAAATTTCTACATACATGCTAAACTTTTGGAATAAATTAAAGACATGTTACTGAGCAAATGGCTTTAGTTTAGGGTATCTCCACAGCAAACCTTTTTGCATGCACATATTTCATGCAAAATTTTCTGTTACTTTTCTTGGGATAGAAAATCTAATTTTACAAGTCTTGACATAATACTTTAAGAAGCATGGGTAAAATGTTATCAGTTGAGTACCCAGATATTGAAAGAGAGCAAATGGGAAATCCCTTTTATGTTTAATGATGGTAGTTTAGACATACTTGTCAGGTGGGGAAGGAAAAGAAAGGAAACAGGAAGGCAGAAGGAAAAACAAGGAAGGGATGAATGAAAGAATGAAAGTTGGATGGAAAAAAGGAGACAGGAAGGAAGAAGAAACTATAACCCTTACACACTAAGAATTTACACACTAAGACATTTGAAGAAATTGTCCTTAACAGATATCAGTTAAGGGACTGTGTTTCTCATTCCAGGAAATTTGTCTGTTTTAGAATGCTATAATGACAGTAACTCAGTGGGTAATAAATTTAGTTATTAAAATGTTTTCATTATTAAGGCAAAATATTCTGAAGGGAGCTGATTACTCAGTGGTATGTCTAAAAAGAAAATAATTCAGTTCTTCAGTTGTGATATGATGAGACTTCATCTAGACAGAAATGGTCTTTAAATTACTAGAAAGGCAGTCCAAATATCAGAGATCAGCATTACCATGCTGCTAAAAAATCATAGCATTTAAAGTTTACTTTACAGTGTAATATATTTTTATATATATATAAAATAGATACATATATTATATATATATAGTGTGTGTGTGAGTTAGTTGATTTAATTCTCATGATCTCCTATCCTTTATTCTGATATAATGGTTTAGAATTTTGTATAAACATTTAAAAAATTGAATATTTTCAAATTAAAAATAGGATGGGAGAAAGACATAACATTCAAAACAGTTTTTTTTTAAATTTTTTACACTTAATAGTAAAATGTTATAAGTCAAAAAGTGTAAAAGGTAAAATCTTAAACTGGAAGCTATTTCAAATACTTCAATAGTGCTAAGCAAAATGTTTGTCAGGTATTATCAGAAGGCTTGGAAAAGCCTTCTTAATTTCACAGACTATATACCATTATGCTTTGTTGACCTAAATCTCATCTAAATCATTTTTAAAAAATATTTATTTAAAAATACAGAAAGTTAGTGTTCCAAAGTAGTTAAGATGTTTTACTTAGCTAAGCCCAAGGTTTCAGAGGGACCCTTCACGGTTTTGGTACATTTATGCAGAAAATCTCTTGATTTACTTTGTGGCTTCAAGTGTTCTTATGTTTGTTACTTTTTGTTTATTTTATTTATAATTGGACAATCATAATTCTTAGTGGTTTATACTATCAACTGTCATGTGACTATATGTTTCCTTGGAGAAAAAATTACCTCCAAATAAAATAAAACCAGCCACATCCATATTTTCCAGTTATCCATCCAATTATTCATCCATCCATCCATCCATCCATCCATTCACCCAAACTCACATATATGTATATATACAATGTCTACTATCTATAAGGGACAATTCAAGCTACTGTGGATTATGCAAAAAGAATAAAGTACAACTTTGAGGAATTTACAGTCTTATATTACAGATAAGATACAAAGACTTATAATACAAAGGTAGGAAGTAATGGGCTGAATGCTTATCAGAAGGAAGGCTATAGTGTACATAAAAATAATTTCATCTACTCAAAATCATGTTAGATAGCAATTTCATAGAAAGCAATGACACTTTTATGAGTAAATAATTATTAGTATTTTCTTATCTTGCACATATGTTTATATTTGCAAGAGAGAATTACACACAGCAAAGTATTAGATATTTGTCTGTGTTTTTGCTTTGTAATAATATCCACCTATCTATCAAGGGGATTATTCACTAGAAAAATGGGTTTCAAATAACAAACATTTCATTTAAACTGTTTCCTGATTATAATTATATGCTTTTAAAGGTACCAATTGAAAATAATGATTCAATTTGGCATATGCACAAAAGATTAAAAAGCTAAGAATAGATTTCAGGAATTCACTCCTTTTACTTATTGTT